ATTTACATGGACTCACCTAGAGTAGATGATCTTCCCTATTTGGCTTCTTTCACTTACCATGCATTTCCAAGGCAAGGTTCATCTGCCTCGCAGTGTGTGTCAGGCCCCATTATTTTTAACGGCTGAATAATATTCCAGTCTATGGTCATACAGCCGTGTGTTTGTTTCCCCATGGGCACGTGAATTGTTTCCACCTGTGAACAGCACTGCTGTGAACACATATTTGTGTACAAATTCTCTCCGAGACCCTGATTTCAGTTCTCTGGGCTCTGCACGAAGAAAGGTGCCTGACAGTTCCCAGTCACAGGGCTGCTGAGAGGACTGAATGAATGAACCCAGCAGGGGCCCTCGCCAAATGCCTGGCAAGAGGAAAATACCAAGAAACATGAACCATCACTATTATCCTTCCCGGTCATGAGGCTGCAGGGAGACACGAGCATGGTGCCTGGCTCTGGAGCTTATTATTAGATTCACAATGTGTGCTCAGACATGCTGTCCAGGATGCATGCAGTCTGTATACTACGTAGTACGCAGGCTAATTTTGGCTGGGGGAAAGGAAGTTGTTTGGTTGCCTCTGAGGCAAAGGGTGGTTCCTAAAGACTTTGCAAGACTCAAAAAGCAGTTCTGCTGAAAGGTGGCTGATTCCCAGCCAAGGTGGATGAGAAAACAGTGTAAACAGCTGTGAAATGATGGGATTCTTGTTCATGCTTTTAACTGGGGGAGGGCCCTGTCACACTTGGGACATAAAGTAAGCCTTGCATTAATAATTTTCCATCGAGGTATGGTGTCAGACAGCCTCCGATCAAATCTGGGCTCTGTTCCCACATGTGTGACCTGGACCTAGTCTGTTGATCTGGAGACTGCGTCTCAGTGAGCTCATCTGTAAAGTGGGGATAAGAGACCTATCTCATAGGGCTGTACACATGCTTTAAAAGTCCCTGACTCACACAGCAAGTGTACGACTTAAAGGCACACTTAAATCCACTTTTTTTCAAAGTCACATAATTCAATATCCCATTGTCCTATGTGGATGCAATCAAGAGGAGTGGGTAATGGTTTCACTAATTCTCCTAGAAATTAGAGCTGGCCGCCTGTGTCTTCACCACCTCAGACCGCATCCTTGTTTTGTCTTTTAAAGATTTATTTATTTATTCATACAGAACTGGGGTACAGGTCAGAGATGCAGGGGAGGGTGAGAGGATTCACCAGAGACAGAGTGGGGAGCAGAACAGGCAGGTCGACAAAGTACACTGCTGAGGGGAGCAGCGGGCGGGTCAGGAGGGGTCTGCAGTGTCATGTGGTCACCTCTGGGGCAGGCGGGGATCGAACTCATGCTGAAGTGGCTTCAGCTTCTTAGTGCTGTGCTTTAACCCACTGCGCCACATCCTTGTTTTTAAAGCTGGAGATGACTGATTTTAAAATTGGTGAAGCTAGCATCTTTGAAAGCTGTTTTTTTGTTTATTTTAAGGTTTATTTATCTGGGGTGTAGGCCAGAGATGCAGAGTGGGGGCGAGAGGATCCACCAGGGGCAGGGTGGCGAGCAGAACAGGCTGACAGAAACAGAGGGTGCAGCGGGGAGCCTGGAGAGGTCTGCTGCACCCTGTGGTCATTCCCTGGCAGGGGATCAAACTCGTGCTGCAGGGGCTGTGGACAACTTCATAGGGCTGCGTCACCAGGGTAGAACCTGTTTTTTTTTTTTTTTTTTAAGTAAGTCAAATCCCAGCATCCACGCACACACCTGGCCAGCGGTGAGCAGTCCTCACAGCAGAGCTAGGCCAGCACAGAACACAGGAATCCCAACTCTTGCCTTCACCGCTGCCCCAGTGACTGAGCGAGCCTCCCCGGTCATGGTCATTCACCCTCGGGCTGCTTGGTCCCCAGCAAACAGCAGGCACTCAGTGCATAGACAGTTCTGGCTGACAGGTGGTGGGTGGCCAGCAGGGGGCTGGGGTCCCAGTTCATTCTGCCCTTGATCCTAATCACCATCCAGCAGCCTCTGAATGGTGTCTGAGTGAACTTTGATCAATTTTTTAAAATTTCCAACAACCCATTTAGGTAGAAAAGGTCCTCCCCATTTCCCTGATAAGACTCTTGAGTTCAAAGGGGTGAAGTCAACTTCCCAAATTCAAGTGTGCCAAACTGACCTCCCAATCATCTGGTTCTGAGCCCTAAAGCCCCGTCCCACTCCACGCTGCTTCCACGCTCTCACCTTGGCCGACTGCCTGGGTTCCCTAAGCCCCATCCTCCTCGCCCTCAGAGTTGGGGCTATCGGTCACCTTTCCAGGCATGGACCTGCTAAGAATTGCATTATCCTGGAAGAGGCAGGGAAAGCCTGTTACTCACATTCATTCGCTGACATTTCCATTAAATCACTTTAGACCCTAACCAACATAGCTCCCAGGTAGATAAATATTTTGGTTCTTAAGAAAAACCACCCCACTGTTTATGCCAAGTCATGGCGTGGGTCCCAGCAGCAGCAAAAATATGTTTTGCTCGGCGAGTAATGATAGGGTGGCCCCTCCCAGCACTTACTGACTCTAGCTAATGACAAGTCAGCTTCTCCCGCGGTTCCTGTCTCCCCGGTTTTGTGTCTCTGCCTAGGTCCCCAGTTTTTGAACTAGGTTAGGGGTTACGAAATCTTCTCAAAAGTTTGGCAGTGATCAGAACCCGAGCCTAAGCCTCTCTCGGGGTTGGTGCTCCTGGTCCTTTGAAGGCCTCTTGGCATTAAACCGCGCAGGAAGCAGGCATTACTCAGCTGATTCTCTGCCTTGGCCGGCCGAGTTCTTACACACACACACACACACACACACACACACACACA